ACATGGGCAATGATGGCTCCTGGACCCACTACCATGCTGATTTTTCTCTTGATGTATGAGGAAGACAGCAGGAGGGTCAGGCCATGCCAAAGGACAAAAATCCTTGGGACTGGAGATACTAGACACATTTTTATTTGTTGGTTGGTTTGCTTCATATATTTTTGCTTATGTCTTCCTTACACAGAAGGATTTCCTCAAGTATTTGGTGACCTTGGCTGTCTGTTCCTATTTAGGAGGAAGGCATTAAAAGTCAGTTGGTACCCTGCAACCTAGAAGTTCCACTCAGCAGACCTGCACATAAACATGCACCAAAAGATATGTACAAGAATGTTCACAGCAACCCTATTTGCCCTAAACTCAAAACCAGCCAGGAGCGCACCAACAGCGGAAAGGCTAGATAAGTTGTGGCATATAAACACAATGGGATAAAATGCCTCAATGAGAATTAACAATCTATACAACTCCTTGCAACATTATGGATGAATCCTACAAACACCATGTCAAATAAAAGAAACTAGAACCCCCAAAGTATACTTGCTATATGATTCCACTTATTTAAGGACAAAACAGGCAAAATTATTAGTCTATGAAGTAGAAGCAAAGATGGTGGTTATCCTTAGGTGGGGGTAGTAAACATTCTTCCTATATAGAGCAGAAAAACAAAGAAAAAATAGAAATACATTCTAGGGAGAATTTAACACACCATTCTCAGTAAAAGAGGGATCAAATGGACAAAAATTAAGCAAAGACATAGAAATCTAAACAACCTGATCAGCAAGGTATGCCTTGAAAATCATTTAATCCTGATTTAGGCACATGTACATGCACACATACACACACACACATATTGGGATTCTAATTAGAAGAGCATTAAACTTATATATTAATTTTAGAAGGATTTATATTTTTATACCCACTTGTTAGTATAGAAAAAAAGCTATTGATTTTGTATATTTAACTTGTATATAGCCACCTTTCAAAATTCTATTAGTAATTTTAATAGTTATTAATTTTAATCATTTGCTGTTAGGCTGGGTGTGCAATCAACCTAATAAAAAAGATAATTTTCCCTTCTTTAGTAATATTCATAGGGCCCATTTCATTTCTTTTCTTATTTCACTAGTGAGAATCTCTAAAACTGTTCAACATTATCAGTGACAATAGACAACCTTGTCTTATTATTGATGGTACATGGACGACACACTCAGGCACTGCTCAGCATCAAAAGGAGCCTGTGTCCTGTAGCCCCCTGCCCAGGAGGTAAGCAAGGTGCTGATGTATCAGGGAAGAACAAAGCTGACTCCATATTGGATTTGTTTCTCTAATTTTTGTATTCTCTATCGCTTTTGCTATAAGTAAAGAAAGTTGCCTAAAGCCTGAAATATACAGGATAGCCCATTCTCAAGGCTCTGACCTTTGAAGGTATAATGCTTTTTCCATCCACATAGAGATAAAAAAAGTTGCAGAACAGAGAATAACATTTGTCTTTTTAGAAGTTTATAGGAACATTGTGACCAGATCTACATGCACAGCTGCAGGAACAAAGGATTCCAGAACCAAGAAGTTTTCAACAACAGGCCACACCCCCTCTCTTTTTAGTATAGAAGAAGCCTCAATTCTAACTCAAGTTAAGATGGTTCTCTGGGACACTGGTCCACTATCTTCTCGATCTGCTGGCTTTCCAAATAAAGACGCTCTTCCTTGCCCCAACACCTCACAAATTCCTATTTATCCCCCTAAGAGGCAGGTGGACACAAAAGTGGTTTTTATCCTTACTTAAAAAAAAAAGGTTTTGGCCAGGCACATAGTATTTATATATATATATATATATATAAATACACAGACACACACACACACACACATACATACATACACACATATACATACACACACACATATTTTATATATATATATGTATATATATATAGAAAATAGATTTTTATTTTTAATTTTTTTTGGAGCAGGGTAATTAGGTTTTATTACTTATTTATCTTTAATGGAGGGACTTGGATTGAACCCAGGACCTTGTGCATGCTAAGCATGCTCTCTACCACTGACCTATACCCTCCCCAATGGCCAAGCACATAGTATTATAGGCTGGTTTCTTTCTAATCTCAAGGCTGAGGACCACAATTCTTAAGTTTCCCCTTCCAAACCTTGGTCATGTTGTGCCAGAAATGGATTATCTGTTGAGATTGTGTGCCTTGATTCACCACAAGGCTTTGAGTGGGGACATGTGAAGGAGGTATAACTCCTAAGAACCCACAGACTGTCTGCTTTGGTTCCTCAGTCTTTGCACTCCAGCACCCACCCCTTCTTCCATTGAAACCCAGCCCTGTGCGGCTCCTCAACTCAGACCTCTTCCAGGTCCAGGGCCTCCACCCAGAGTTTTGTCCTTTTATTACAGCCCATTTCATGAGTAAATACCCAAAAGCCAATGGGCTGGGGGGAGTGCCAACAATTTCTCTCTTTTAAAGATATGCTCTAAGAATGTACTCCAGCTGGGCCCCTCCCTGGAGCCTGCAATCATCAGGCAGAGACAGGATCTTATGGTACTCATAATTTCAGCCTGCCTGTTGGTCTGCCCAAAGTACGCATTGATGGCATGGCAAAGTCTGCAGGCAGCATTTTGGAGCAATTAACTATGGATGCTAGAGGCCTCCTCTCTCCTGTGGTCAGTCAAACCACAAGTGTATTCCCTTCACTTATTATAATGTAGCTAATACAATTAAGTATTGTAACTGTGACACAATTAAAACCCTTGTAATTAAGGAAGTTGGTGGTAGGAGAAAAGGACTGGTTCTGAAAACTCAGCCCAGTTTAGCAAAAAGCAACATATATATATCATCACCACTAGATGGCAGGCTTCCCGCTTTATTCCCCAGCTAGCCCTATTTTAACAGAAAAGAGATCCCCAACCAGCTCTTCAACAAACCAATCCTCCAAAGTATCCCCATTTAGACTCACAGAATGTTAAGTGTGGACAAAAACTTGTTGAGATTTTTTTTTTAGTCAAATGTTTACAGAAGAATTTTTGGCCAAATTTTACAAAAGAAGAAAAAGAGCCCAAGAGGTCTGTAGATCCTGGGTTTACAAATTCTCCCAGGCCAGCTTGCTTTTCTGCTGTTCCACCAGCATCTTGACAAAAGCCATCCAAAAACTGACTTAAAAAGAAATATGATACAGGTGTGCTCAGTTTCTGAAAAATGTGTCGAGCTGAGTTATGATTTGTGCACTTTTCTGTGTGTATCTAACACTGACACACACATACACATACACACAGAATAACTCTTCCACAGATGGAGTGGGTTGTTTGCCTGGTTTTGGTCTTGCAATTGCTTGTGAGCTTGGCCAGCCCTTGGCTGGTGAGCAACTTGAAGTCTGGGATCCTTTATGCAGCTCTGTGCTCCCAGAAGCCTTACGTAACAACTGACAAAAGGACAGATGAGGCGTCCAAGTTGGTTGGAATAAATTAAAGTGGAGTCCCTGTAACCAGCAGGGTGACTTTAGCCAAGGGACCTGCTCTTCAGGTCCTCAATTTCAAAAAACACAACGTTGAATTACATTGTCATCAATCTCTGAGTGCAAAATATATCCGAGAAATGCCTACCAGAGTGCCACAAAGGTTGTGGGACAATGGTTCTCAAAGTGTGGTCAAGGACCCCTAAGGGTTCCCCATCACTTTTCCTACCCCGTATCTGTGTGAGGATGTTTTCTTCATATAATTCCATCAAAACAACACATCACAAGAGCTTGAATGTAGAAGCAGATATGAGAATGTGTTAACTAAACATTAAAGAGATTTACAAAAATGTAAAACAACACCATCCTTACACATTTCCTTACTTTGGCAAAATACAGGTATTGCTCATAAAAATAAATAATTTATGTTAACATGCAATGGGGTTTATCGCTATTTTTTTAAAAAGTAATAAGTATTTAAATTTTTCTCAGTTATAATTTCCAATATAGTATGGCAAATTCAAAATATCTCATATAAACAAAAGATGTTTGGGGTTTTCAATTGCTTTTAAGAGTGTAAAAGGGTCCTGAGAACAAAAAGCTTGAGAACTGCTGTTGTATGAGCTTAATTAACCCCATGATTAGCTCTCTGTTATTTATCTTTCATTCTTCAGAAGCAGAAATTTGTATATCAAACAATATTAATTTCAGAATTATCAACACTGGCAGAGAAAAAGAAAAAAGACAAGTTGAATGTCTAAAACCAGGGGAAAGCTTTAACAATGATAAAATATGCCCCATTAACTCAATGGGATTGTACCATAGAGTAGTATATAACAATAAAATGATTGTAAGACATAATGTTAATAGTGTAAAGACATAAATCAGTACTGACACCAACTGTAAAAATTTGAGACTGGAACCCAATATGTGAAAGTGAAAATGTTAAACACCTATTACACTATGTTTGAATGCTGAGACTATGAGTGCTGCTTTATTGGCTATTAGCATTTTACTGCATATTTTTTGAAGCAGCATTTTTAAGTGAGCATTTTAAATGGCTTCCCCAGGTCTCTCACACTAGGGCCAAAGAGACCACTGATTTTTTTTCTATTTGGGAGGAGGGATAATTTGGTTTTTATTCTTTTTTTAATGGGGTTACTGGGGATTGAACCCAGGACCTCATGCATGCTAAGTACACACTCTACCGATGAGCTATTTCCTCCCCCGCCTTTTTCTATTTAACAAGCCAAAAAGCGTCCTGATTTTGAAAAGCCAACTTCCTCCAGCAGACCCCAACAAAAGTCCCTGTCTTGCAGGCCTCTGGGAACCACCTCTGACAAATGGCAAATTTGTACAAACACACAGCCACCCTGGCCGTAGGAACTCTTAAGAAAACCGGCGCTGAATGGGAAGTGGTCCAGCGTTCAGTGGGTCAGCAGGCGACCAGGGGTCTTTGTGAAGGGAACAAAATCACATCTCCCCCTCACCAAGAGGGTCTCCAGCACCCCTCCCCTCCTGCACTGCCCCCGCCCCACACAGTGTGGATTTATGTTTCCCTTCATAGGCATATTAATAAACTCCCTCTTAAGCCAACTGCTTCTGGGGTTTTCAAGTGAAAAACACAGCCAGAAGGAGAATACATGCTTCAAAGAATCTTTACCTCCAGCCCATTAACTAGATGCTGTTCACATCTTCCTCTAGACCAGCTGGGGTAATTCCTCTTCTTAACTCCGCATGTGTATGTGGTTCTGTTTCAGACTCCCAGGATGGGCAGCACAGTGTGAAAGGGAGGCACTGGGTAATTAAGGGGATGATCTTATTCAGGCTCTTGCAAAAGGGAGACCATTCATTAATACAGAGAAAAGGAAGGAGGGCCTGGGGTTTCATAGAGACAAGAGAGTCGGGAGGAGAGTGGACAACAGGTCTCATCTGAAGGGCAGGATGGGAATAAACTGACTATGTGAACATATTCCTCTGTAGTTTCTCTACCGTCCCAGCTCCCTGGCTCTCTGGGAGCACAGAGCTCAGATACACTTCAACCCGGTCAACAGATTACCAAAAATCTGGGCTCCCTTGTAGCGGAGAAGGGAGGAAATAAGTGGTGAGAGGGAGGTCCCAGAGCCTCCAGGGGAAGTGGTAAGGGGTCCAGGGCAGAAAAAGAAGGATGGAAGGAGTGGACACACCTCCCCGCATTCTCTGGGCAGCTGAAATTTTGCTCCTCAAATTCAGAAATCTTCTCCTTCTCCCTCTCCCCTCCCATTCACCCTCCCCTTTTCTTTCTCGGCTGACAGGTGAGTGAGGACAGTGCTGAAGGGAAACCAGTTTGATTCCTTTTATTCCTCCAAACACACACACAGGGAGAAAACTGGCCACTACCAGAAGATTCCAGCTAAATACTTAGGGTTCCTTAAGGATGTCTTTTGAAAAAAAAAAAAGGTTTAGATGGTTGAATAGCTACAGCCATGATGGAAAGTAATAATTTTTCTTGCCAGTAAGAATAGCCTTTTTTTCTGACATCTTCTTTGATAAAGGCAAGACCTCCCCAGCTTCTTTGCCCTACAGCTCCCCATTTCAACCAATCCAGCCAGATGTGTGAATTTTTCCATTTCATACAGCACAGGGCTTAAGAATGGAAGAAGGGATGAGCTGTTTCCCTCATTAGTGGCTCTTTCCACCCCTACTGAGACTGTTTGTGGAGGATTTGTGCTGCTGGCTGTAGATAAAACAATCAGGGTGGGGGCCGCTTTGGAAATAGTGGGGGGATGGGGATTTTTCCATCTGGAATCACAAGACTTTTGGTGGCAGGGCCAGATGGAACCACGATCTGTCTGCGGAGACAAAGCTTCTCTATAAACTGGTCGAGCAAACAAGAATATGAGGTTTCTGACAATACGATGGCCAAGAGATAGAAAACTGAGATTGGTTATGAAATGCCAAGAGCAGATCATTCCAACTTTGGTGAATTAAGCCCTGGATGTAAATCGGCAAGGAGCTTCCTCGAGCTGACGAAAGCAAGGATCGTAAAGCTTTAAATTCAAACTGGGACAGCAGAATAACAACTCACGGTCAGCGGTCTTCATCCTCTGAGCTTAAGTCATCTTTCAGCTGGGAGCAAGAGTGCTTCCTGAACGTACCCGGACAATGTTGGGACTTCGATTACTGAAAAGAATTTTATAAATGTTGAGTGTCCCTGTCGACACTCTTAATGAACATCCTCTGCATTGTACTGAAGCCAAATTCCAAGGTATCATTAGGGATTCTGAACAATGATACAACATAGATGGCGAATTTGCTTGAAGCTCCCAGCATCCAATTAGAAGGATGGTAGCAGATTTCCCAGAACACAGGAGATGAAAACCATCTGTCACAGCCTGCTTCCTAAGTCCTTCCTTCCAGGAGAGCTCTTTGTGTCACCTAATAATACCAAAAAGAATGCCTTCTTGGCCCTCAAACCCCATCTTCCAACCAGAGATCAGTTAACAAGCTGTGTGCCCTACAGCAGGCCGCTTGCCCGCTCCGAGGCTTAATTTTCTCTTCTATAAAATGCAGCGGATGGACAAGCGTCCATGTTTTCAAATGTTTTTAAAGCAGTGGAACCTTTTGTTTTTCCCCAAAGGAAAACTTTATGATGGAATCCAATTTGTAAATACCGTTTGTCACTTGGAGGAACTATACTCAATGTGTCACCGATCAGAATGATGAAGGGAACTCGCTCAGGTCTTTGTGCCTTAAATCCCCAAGTAGACTATCAGTTCCAATATGTTGGATCACTCCCTGCAAATATTGAGTGTTTTAAAAACATTGTGTGGGGAAAAAAATCATGCTTCAATGGAAAACTATGCATCATCTAGAGGACACTCTCCCGACCATCTGACTGTGATGCTACGGGGACCCTTTCACTGCCTTTGAGTTATTTTACAACTCTGTAAATCATAGATAAGTGATAGCAATGCACATAATTCTTGTTACATAAATTATAAATTCTGTCCTGTGGAGGTTCAGTTGACTTTCCTCCTATCCCCCAAGGGAAATGCCAGTTTCCTTCTGTTCGGAAATGTACTTCACATTCCACTACACCCTATACATGTATGCTTCTTTGACTTCTCATTTGAACTGGTTGTAACATCTCCCCAGCTATCATTAATAATGAGCTAAATAAAGACTTTAACATGAATTCATTTATATTTGTGGGAGAGTCATGATTTTTAGCTTCCTTGGAAAAATAACTGTCTTTTGGAAAATTATTAATATTGTATCCCAGTTCTTACCAATCCCAATCAAACATGTGACCTCCACATTGAAAGAGCCACCTAAAGCCAGTCTTCAAAGTCTCAGTAAAACCCACAGCTTGGCCTCCTGCTGTGGGAGGTACCCAGGCCCTGCGGGTGCTTCTTCCCATCACTATGAGCACTGAACTCAGCCTTGCCTTATCAACTGCTGGTTTTAGTGATTTCAGGGAGATGGCTTTTGACAGAAGGAGAAAATCTTTGGAGGCAATTGTGTATGTAAGCCTGAATTATTCAGCAGAGTTCCTGCTCTGATCAAGTTCAGTGGGATGATGGTATTTTTTTCCCATGTGGATACAAAATCTAGAGTTAGAGGGGCTGGAAGGAATCCAGGAAATGATCTAACCTCCCCCCCACCCTGACTCCTTTGTGGATGAGGTCACTGGGACCCACAGGGGTAGGTCAGCCAGGGGCTGGGATGGGAGCTGGAGCCACAGCCCCAGGCCAGGTGCCCTGCAGTCATGCATCTTCTCACACCTTCATTTTTCTACAGTCACTTCCTGCATGCTGGGCACTGTACCACGTGACGAGTGCTCAGAAGTGGGCTCACATTTTTGAGCTATTTGCCCACTTCGCCTTCTGCCCCTTTTAAGCAGATCCTCGGCTCCAGTTCTTCTCTTCAAGAAAGCAGTGACAATGCAGAAAGCTGAGAGCCTCCTGAGAGCTTCAGTTTCCAATCCCTGAAGTCTCAACACTGGGGAAGAACACAGAAGACTACAGGTAACGACCAGAAAGGCAAGGAAAGGCTTCTAATGGGCTAGTGTCGGAAGGGAAAAGCAGGCTGTGCCCTGGTGTGGAGCAAAGCCCCAGGGATGCCCACAGCAGACCCCTAGGTGGGGGAATGCCTGGGGGGCTCCGAGTCTCTGAGACACAAAGCAGCGCAGAGCCCCACCCTTCCAAGGGCCACGTGGACAAGCCTGAGGGACAGCTCAGGAGTGACCTAGAAGACTAATAACTAGGGCCACGTGCCCTGGCCCCATTAGGATCTTGGCTCCACAGAGACCCTGAAACTTGAAAAACAAACAAATGGGGGCAGGAGTGCGGGGAGTTGGTGCTGCAGGCAGATGGACAGACACTCAGGGCCAAGGAGGCTCCAGGATTTCTCCTCAAACTGGGCCCAAGAGGACAGTTTCTCCTTGCTTTCAGCTCAGACTAATCAAACTCCCGACCAGCACTGGGGGTGACCACTCCAGAAATGGCCACTTCTTGCACTGGGGTTATAAGGAGCTCCTCAACAAGGAGCAATCCTAGACAAAACAATGCTAGGGTGATGGATACTGTTGATGCTTTTATCATCTGTTTTCTGAGTGTTACCACATCCCAGGAATTGGGACCAGAGGGGATGAGGAGAGGGGAGGTCTGCCTATGGGGGCAGGGAAGCACACACAGCATCACTTCCTCTCTTCCCAGGCAGCAGCGGATGCGACCCTGACGTGACCCCACAGGTGCTCCCCTCTCCTCTGCTGGCCTCCAGCCAGATCCCAGATTCCAGTCCTTTCCAATGCCCTAGAGGACCAAACTTTCAAAAGGAGGAAGGAAGGAAAAAAGGGGAGGGGAAGAAGGGATCATAAGAGAATGGAGGGTTTAGAAGAGGAGGGGAGCAGGGTTGGTGGGGGAGGGAAAATCAGAAAATCAGAAAATCAAACATATGAGGAACTAACTGGGAAACTGTAGCACCTGAGGCCTGGCTCCTTTCGGTCAACTCTTGCTTGGGGGTCTGTTGCAGGAGGCTTAGGAGGGCTGTTTCCAGGGTCTCTCATTCACATAGTAGCTCAAACTTAGATTTGCAAAGACCACCAAACGAAATACTGAGAAGCACAGACCTGCATTTTAAGAAGATGAAGCTCAACCTTCAGCCTGAAGCTTGCCCACATCCTGGTCACCGCGGCTGCAGGGCGCTGTGAGTCAGAATGGATCACCAATTCAGTGGTCATCGTGCCCAGTTTTATTGCAACATGTCCTTTGTGTTTAATGGGCTAATCTGTTGAAGGCAAACATTTAAAACAAATCACAAATTTTATAATGCTGTTTGAGCTCTGCTCTTCATTGTTTAATTTACAGGGAGCCCTTAAAACCGGAAGTGACCCAAGTCTCCCTCAGTCCCTAGAGGCCCTGGGGCCACCCTCCACAGCCCAAGGCCTCCTTGGGGTCAGTGTTTCCCCTGGAGGACACCCACCAGAACGAGGAAAGCCCCACCAAATGCTCGGGAAGGAAGCAGTCATGGCACCCTTACTGTTAAAGAAAAAATTATTCTGACAATTGTTGAAAGGGTAAGGAAGATTTTCTGTAGGACAGTCACAGCAGGCATTAAGACTATTGCAAACAGGGAAGAGAGACTGGGCTCACTTCCAAATATGACAGGAACAAGTGGGCATTTATAGCCAAGGAGCCGGGAGGGGAGGTGGTATTGCAGATGGAGAATCACCAGGAGGAGACATCAGAGGTGGGGATTCCTGCTCAAGGCAGCCAGGGTGATCAGCTATCAAGGGTAGGGGATTCTCTCTAGACTGACTTAGCAGGATTCTTGCTACTATACCTAGGCTATGCGGCCCCAGCCAGGACAGGCAACGATCAGGGCCCAGTCATGAAGTGGGCTCAGAGGGGCCTGACTGAAGTTTGGTCAAGGAGACAAGTCTTTGCTTGTCACAGCCGCTGTGAGAGTCTGCTATCCCAAGCACAAGGCCCTTTGTTAAATCTTCATAAATAATTTTACAGATACAGAAGTTGAGATTCAGAGCAATTACACAACTTGCCCAAGATTCCAGCCTGGAAGAGGCACAGTGAGGACTGCAGACCCAGGCAGCCTGGCTGTGACAGGTCTGCTCCTCCCCACTAAACTATGCCACCTCTTAACACTAGCCATAGCAGCCAGAGCAGGCTTCCCTGTTCAAATCCAAAGAACCTTACTATCACAGTAGCACAATAAACGGCTGGGGGGCTGGTAGGAGAAGTCATAAAGCTTGAATGCCAAAACATTCGTTTCCAAAACCAGAGTTGGTTTCGATGGCAAAAGCTTCCCAGAGGAAATTACTATTTCAATCACTGTGGGTGAAACAATGTTCTTTGGGCGAATAAAGGCTGAGCTTTCAAATATTTCCCTCTGGTTTAAAATAATTTTGGTTGAAACATTTTGACTCTCAAAAGGAAGTTTCTTTGTAAGAAACTGCAAGAAATGCAGGTGCAGTTAAGGCACACCCAAAACAAAGCCTTCAGAAAACCCTCGCTTCCTCTCAAAATCATACCGTTTCCTACTGTCTCACTCCCACATAACTCAAAGCCATATGAAATCTCCACGAATATATGTGCATTTATCTGTTTTGCAGAGGAGAATTTCAATCCCAAAATGGGGGTGAGGGGGAACAGAAAAAAATGAGTAAGGAAAAACACCTTTTTTGCCTAGTATGCATATGTGGCATTTGTACTTGTTACCAAAATGCAGAAGTTACTTAAATGACCACAGAATCCCACTTCTCCCTCCCCCAGTGCTGAGCTGCAGCACTACTGAGCATGTCCCAAAGGCAGCTCAATTACTACAAGGAGGGTTCTCTTTTTTAAAGTATCGCTGTTAATATTAATATTTCACGATGCCATCTACAGCAGATTATAACTTGTGTTTGTTCTCCACTATATTCGTGCTTCCTCTGATTTCCAGCAGGTAGCCAGATCCTTCGGAGTTGCTTATTTTCTGGGTTTTGCAGAGCAGAAAGCAAAAGAGCTTCAAGTCAATGCCTCCTTAACTTTTTGGGGGGTGGGGAGAGACAAGAGCTAAGGAAATGTAGTGAAGAGGTGTGTCCTCATTAGGGAGTAAAAGTAGCAAGAGAAAATCCCCCAGATGCCGTGGGGCACCATGCATCTCTTTTTGGCAAGATCTGAAGGGACAGATGGCTACCCGGGACACCTAGGGGTGCTGAGCCCTGGACACCAAGGGTTCAAGTCTTCTCAAGAATCCCTTGCCCCAAGTGTGGCATCGACACATCAGGGACCTGAAGAGAACATGCAACAGAGACACAGGAGTCTCAAGAGTGGCCTGTGGGACACAGTATTTCAGAGACGGCTTGAGTGTTTCAGGTTTCAAGATCTTTGTATAAGCTGTAGGGGAGACCCAATAATTATCAAAATTTAACTTTCCCGCAATTCAACACCTGGGATAAACCCAGGCTGATTTAACACAAAGAAATTGAATACTCCTGAACATCTGAGTTTATGGACTAACATTCATACCAACTATATCTTCATCCATCTGTTCATTTGACAAGCAGTCACTGAGTTTCCATCATATGCTGAGATGGGACCTGGGGACATGGTGGTTCCCCAGGCTCCCAGAGATCACACACTCAGAGATGTCCATCCTGAAGCAAGGAGAAGCTGCTGCAGGGTCACCCAGTGGTAAGTCAAGGCCCTGGGATGTCTTACAGATATCATCAGAAATGATCCACCTGGCTCTCATACTCATCCATTGTTAAACTATGCATACTGTATCAAGTTTCAAAATGATACACATAGGAGTTTATCCCACGTAAACAATCATGGGTGAATGCAATGATTTTGCTTGCTGCCATTATTATGACAAAACCCTGGAAACAGCAAAAGTAGGTTAAATATATTACAATATATCCATTTATTGGAGCACCATGAATGCATTAAGAATGATGTTTACATTACCTTATAATTAAAAATAAAATAAAAAATAAAAGTAAATAAATACATAAATTTTAAAATATAATATTAAACATAAAAAATAAAGAAACATAACTTTAGAAGAGCATTTGATCATAGGCCGAGTCCCACTAAAACTGAGTTCCTCTGCTGAGTTTATGACTAACATCTGTACCAAAAGTATTACTCCTTTTCTTGTCCAACATCTGTTCCCCTAAAGACTGAGCATATCAGGGAAAAGGGGGGAAGTGAAACTGCATACAAGCCCCTATGTCTCTGTCCTTCAAAGCAAAGGTTTTTGCTTTAGTCCCTGGGGACCCCCTGAGTCTCAAAGGGCTGGCCCAGGAGTGAATGTCTAAGAAATAAGAAGATGTAGAAACAATACTTTGTTGAGCTGGGAAACTGGTAACAATTTATACTATAAACCAGCTATATAGCAGAGTCACTGAACACCCAGTTTCCTAAAAGAAATATATAAAGGTCCAACACACATTCCTAAGCTGTTTTTACAGGAAGCAGACCCCTACCAGCGGAAAAATGCTGATTGCTACCACGTACACCCCAGACTGGCTGAAACCCAGATGACTGGGGATGCTCGAAACTTCACCTTGATGCCAGTCAATCCGAGAGTTGAGCACAAGCTGATCACGCACCCTGCAGCCCCCTCCTCACGTTGCCTTTATAACCTTTGTCTCCTACCCGGCAACTTGGAGACAGTCTTAGGACATTAGTTCACCATCTTCCCAGGTTGCTGGCCTCCTGAACAAAGCAACTTTTCCTTTTCTACCAATACTTGTCTCTCGAGTATTGACCTTTAGAGTGGCGAACAGCTGAACCTGGGTTCCGTACCAGCCTCGTCTGGTTACAATGACATGGAAAGGCACAATCAATATGTTGCTGAAAAAAGTTATAAAACTGAACAAATATGATCACATTTCTATAAAAGTGATATAAATATGCATATTGTAAATATGTGTACTATTGAATAGGATACAGGGCACTGGGAGGATATACCACAAAATATTAAAGGTGGTTATTTCTGCCAGCTCTACAGTATGATTTTGTGGGCTTCAAGCACTTTTGCCTTCACGGACTGCCTCACTAAAAAAAAAAAAGTTTGAGAATTATATTTTATGATGGCATTGGTATAAAGATGAATACAATCCAGACTAGGTTCATTATTATATGTTTATTATTATTATGCTCATTTTTCTTCTTATTTCAAGAGAAATTAAAATTGAAACATTCATAGACCCTCAGCTCTATGCCTTCTGGGGCTATTAGATACTTCAGCCCTGCTTTCTGAGTGATGGGATTCCTTGATTTTTATTTCCTTCTTGTGCTAATGGTCAGAATCTAGGTCTGTGAGTCACTAAGGAATTGAAGGCATCTGAAAGGGTAGGTGAGGGCAGACAAAGGTCAGGCTGAAAAGGTAGGCAGCGGCCAGAATGTGTAGGACTATTTAAGTCCAGTTAAGGAGCTGAAACTGTCCTTACTCCAATGGGAAATCATCATATAGTCTTAAGCAAAGGGGTACTTTGCTCCTGGGTGGAGAATGGATCTCCTGAATCTCCAGCAGTGGCCCTGAGTCCCTGGTGATGGTTGTTGTGTAGCATGAATCCCATGGTAAGACTTACTCCAGCCTGGTTAAGACAACTGAACAAATGCAGAGATGTGCACTGGGACTTCTACACTTCCCACACGCCCCATCCCAGCCTTCAGAACCGTACAAACAAGGAAAAATTAAAACAAAACAGGGTAGAGGCAGGAATACCACACTGTCCTAAGTACTACAGGTTTATAATACGTCTTGATTCTGCTGGTATACATCTTCCAGCTTTCTTTTTCTTCTTCAAGACTATATTTCCTCTTCTCGGCCATTTGAATTTCCATATGAATTTTAGAATCGGCGTGTCCATTTCCACAAAATAAAACCTGCTAGTACTTTGACTGGGATGGCGCTGAATCTAAAGATGAATCTGGAGAGAACTGGCATGTCTGCAGCACTGAGTCTCCCAATCTATGAACATGGTCTAGCCCTCCATTAATTTAGGCTTTCTCTAAATTTCCTTCAATAACGATATGCTGTTTCCAGTGAAGAGGTCTTGCACATGTTTTGTTAGATCTATTCCTAGATAAGTGATGTTTTTAGGTGATTGTAACGGGCAAAAATTAAAGGTACTAATTAAAGGAAATAATGTCTAGGTAAAGTACTCTACAAAATGTAAAACTTTATACAAATCTGAGATAGTCTGTCTCACCAATACTACCGAACTCATCATTTTGGAAAGCCAGTCTACACTCCCGTAAGGCATCTTTCCAAGTAGCTACTGATTAACCAAGATGCTGACACTACAGAACCAGGAACAGCCAAAAACTGACATCAGAGGACAAGAAGAGAATGGCCTGGAATAAACTCAGAAAAAACCAAGTTCTCAGTCTGAGTTTGAATTTTACCCAATAGCCACCAGATGGCCTCAGGGGGGAAAAGACCTCAAAAAAGCACATCATTCAATCAAAACTCAGAGACTTGATCCACTTGATATAAGATCTCATTCAACCTATGAGCTCCTGAAACTGTTGCTGAAAATTAGCTTAGACCAGCCCTCAGTGGGAGCTAAGGTCCTACTTCAGCTTCTCTGCGCTCCTCCTGTCTCCATTAGAATTCTCATGTGCAGAGCAGACTAAGGCCAGACGTGGCTTCTTCCTGGGACCAGTCCTGGGCAATGCTGATGCCCTCACTTTCAGCTGCCTCTCAGTCTGAACTAGTGACTCACACGTGCTCCTCTGAGCCCCACCTCACATGCACCCTCCTCCTCCTGCCAAGCACTGCCTTCCCCAGACACAACTCGGATTCTCACCTCCTTCCTCTTTCCAGCAGTCTGGAGGAGACGATAGCCAAGAATGAAATCGTCTGGATATTAAGAGTAGTTATAAAACACAAAAAGGAGACAGACTTTGCTGTTATTCACCTCCACATATTCCATCCAGTCTCTTGGATACCCCCTCCTTGATCAATGTAGCAATAATCATTATTCATTGAATCAACAATATTTTTTGAGCATATGCCATATGCCAGACAGTATTTTAAGCACCCAAGATACAGCAGTGAACAGTACAACAGAAGTCCCTTCCTTCTTGCAGCTTATGCCATTGGGAGAGAGGTGACCGTGTCCCCAGGGAAGGTGGAGAGGGGCAGGGAACAGGACTACCAGTTGCAAATCAAGAGGATTTTAGAAGTCCAGGGTCTTAGTTTGGGGTCCCTCAAAAGCAGACCCTAAGATAGGGATTTGAGAACAGGCTACTTATTGAGGAAGTGATCCAGGAAACATAGGTGAGCAAATGCGGAAATGACAGGAAAGGAGGAAAGCCACAGTTTGTTAACGAAGGGTTAAAACTATGGGTAATTAAGACTCAGTCCTGGGGTCCCTCATATATACTGTATCAAATGTGCCTCAGAAGTATCCCACTATAGGATAAGGAAGCTCAGGGGTTTATCCACCAACTCCCACCCTCATTAGCTGAGGATCACTCCTAGGATCTTAACTCCCTGGCATCCCAGGCTGAGAGAGGCAGGAGGCTGTGCGCATGTACAGGAACTGTCTGCAGGTGACCTCTGAGATGGGCTACAGGGATGTGGGTGATACCATCCACTACCCCCAGTCATCTTGTTCCCTGTTATATGCCCAGCACCTAGTGTGGTTTCAGGTATATGGTGGGCGCTCAATAAATACTTGTTGGGTAACTGGATGTTTTACCATCTGAAGATGTATTTAAAATTATTCCAAAGTCAGCAGGAGAAAGGACCCTGAACTTGAACTTCAGAATGGTGAGCTCAAAGCACACTAAGCTGTATGACCTTAGGCAAGTCCCTTCCCCTTCCCGATCTCAGTCTTCATAGCCATAAAAAGAAGACTCGAACGCCTGTCTTGCCTGACTCATTGGACTGTGATGAGGAGCCAATGGGAGAAACAATCTGAAAGTGCTTTGGAACGCCAGAACATGCTACAACTCCTTCCTGTGAAAGAAGCCCAGAACATGGAATAAGATCTGAAAAAACAGATTCCGGGTCAAGTAAATTCTTTCAGACAGTTTCCTCACTTACAAAATAGGCAAAATGATAATCAGGCCACAGCACATCTCAGAGTGCTGTCATGGGCTGAGAAGGCAAGATAATGGAGGTGGCGTGCTCCACTCCCTTCTGAAACTATGAAAATGACAATGAAGGGATGTGGATTTTTAAAGGGGGATCATAAACCCATGATGACAAAGCAACAAGAGAGGAAATGACAGCCACAAAACTTTGGAAGCTGGAAAGTAGATGGCCAATTAGTAAACAGCTTAGCTAGTAGAGAAAGTTAATTACTAAAATACTGCTCAGGAAAGAAGGAATGTAGCTTGCCCCAAACGTTAGGCAACAGACACTTCTGGAAGTGAGGGTAAAGGTGGGGCAAAGAACAGAAAGAGTGGTTGAAAGTCTTTTTAAGAAGTTAGAGCTCCAAATCCCCTCCTCAACCCTGGCAGAAATTCCTGGGCGTGGGAGCACCCAGCAAGCTGTTTTTACAAGCCCTCTAAGTGATCCAGGGGCTATCTGGAGAGTATCTGACTCCAGAGGGATGCACACTTAACAATTGTCTTTCTACTGACTTGGCTATTTTACAACCCTGTAAGGATAGAAGTTTAGCTGTAGAAAAATTGGGAGTAATGCAAATTTTTCTTGGCCATAGAAATGCAAATTAATTTCTCCAGTAGAGCTACATTGGTTTTTAGAAAAAAAATCACCCCATTCCAGTTCATTGCCCTATGGGATATTAACTAGTTTCACATCCATTGGCAAATTCATTTCAGTATTAGTAATTATATGGATCTGCTCAAATCTCCCCTTAACTGGCTTTAACAACTTCCTAGTTCTCTCATTACTTAAGTAAATAAATCATTAACACAAATTCATTTTATATATGTATGAGAGCTGTTTTTACCTTTTTGAAAAGTATGCTTCAGCAGAGTGATTCTCAAAGTAAAGTCCCAGACCAGCTGCAAGATCAGCTGCAAGATCACCTGGGAACTTGCTAAAGATGCAGATTCTCAGACCTCACCCAGGCCTGCTGAATCTGAAACTCTAGGGGTGGGGCCCAGCCATGCGTGTTGTTAGGGACCCCCTCCCAGGTTCTGATGCACACTCAAGTCTGAGAAGCACTGCTTTAGCACTTCCATCAAACTCTACCAAGATGCTGCTTTAGTCCTGATTCTGTTGAAACGTCCGAACTTGACGGTCTACGTGGTCTCTAACATAGCCTGCTTGTGACGGATGAGAACAGGCCAGGCCAGGCCACCCTTCTCTCTTATCTCCAGGGATGCCTCAGCTGTCCATCACTCACTCCCTGTCTCTCTGCAGCACCAAGAGATGGAACAAGAGTCCTTTGTGAGCCAGACAGAACATGAAAGTCAAGATTCCTTGAGAGGATACATTTAGGGCCTGTTGGTACCTGCTGGTCTGACTTGGTGGGACTAAAACCCTCAAGCTTCAGAACTAATAGGCCCAAAGGGGCCATGACCCCAAAGAGAAGGGATTAGCATGAAGGAAAAACAACCTCGGAACCCATCCCTAAATGTGTTTATTTATTCTCTGCCTCCTGCAATAATGGAGTGTTATTTCATTGCTGGCAGATGCAAAGTAACAAGCCCATTGTGTGCTGATCTGGAGCACATATGCCGTGCATTTGTCTTGCAGCCTGACTGGGCGCTTTGCCCTGTTCACAGGAAGCCCTCCCTGACAGCCGAATGCCACACAAGCCCGATAACTGCCCTTCACTGGGGGAGGATCTGCCTGAAAAATTGCCTTCCCTTCCTCCGCACAA